TAGCAGGGACGAGAGGAACAATGGATAGGTTTCAAGTGCGGTGACATCTCCATGCTTGTTTGTGAAGAGTTTGGAGAATGCCGGAGAAGTGAACAATCTAGGACTACAAAGCACAACTGGAAAGTGAACTGAATTGGAGAATTTCTCCAAATCAGCTATGTTGTCCTAGATTGTTCACTTCTCCTGCCTCCTCCAAACCCTTCACCCCTTTTGTGAATAACCCTGTTAGACTTTAAATCAAATCTAAACCTAAGAACAGATAGGTCAGGTGACTCAGAGCACTATCTGCATGGAGTTTGTATGTTCTCCCCAGGCTTGTGGGGATTTCCTCCAGATACTCCGGTTTCCTCCCACACTCTAAAGACACGCTGGTCTGTTGATTGGCTCCTGTCTATACTGGTCCTAGAACGCATGCGCATGTGAGATAGGGACCTTAGATTGTAAGCTCCTTGAGGGCAGGGACTGATGTGAACGTGAAATACACATAGCGCAGCATAAGTTGACGGTGCTATATAATTACCTGTAATAAATAAAATACATACGGAGTCCATATATCCATAGATGTGGTGGCTGCTTTAGTGTTATTTTTCCCTTTATGATCCTGCCTGTAATGCACTTCCTGTCCTAGGGTGACAACACTTTCTCGCTATGCTGTATTTGTGGAGGAGCTGTGTTGTCACCCAAGGACAGGAAGTATGTTAGAACATCGCCTCTCCATAAGCTTGGAAGATGTTCTGTAGTCCACAGAGAGAACTGGAAACAATGCTGACAAAAAAAAATCATCAGCTGAGAGTGAGAAGGAAGTTACCAGCTCACTAGATTTCTTGCAGGATGCGTTCTATTTGCATTTATAAACCAATATAACAATTCAGTTTATTTAACAGACCAAAAGACAACGAATAATAGAAGTTCATTCTTGGGGTTTACATACACCTGAATTTTCTAACACCACTGCTTTATCCCTGGAATACATAATCCCTTTGGAACATGAAACATGGTCAAATTGGCAACCCCCCCCCCTCCCCCCATCCTGTCCATGCCCCCAAAACTTACCTGAATCGCAGGGCTCTCATTCCCGCAGGCTACTGCTCCGCCCACACAGCCGCGTCATCAATTCACAGATCCTTTGACAGGATCTGTAAATGGAGAAACTGTAAGTCCCATCAGGCAGATGGACTTGTAGTTCTCACTGCAATACAAGTGTGGTGACATCACCGCACTTGTAGTCCCATTCATTCTTCTACCAGTCCATGTTACTGAATGTCTATACCTCAGTACTCCACATCTTTCTGCCTGCCCCAAAACGTTGGTTTATTTGGATGTCTGTGATGCTTTCTTTCCAATAAAAGGGACATATTTATCTTTACTACTGAGTGCTGGTGATTTCCTGACTTTCCTGTGTTTGCACGGCGCCATCCGTGGTAATTCATCACTGCGAGCACCACTTTTTTCTTCTCTGGCCGGGACTGCTGTGAGTGCGGGGGTCTCGCCATCGACTTACATCTATACCTCAGTACGGACATGGATGCAAAAGAGAATTTGCAGGAGCCAGAGCATTGCACCTGTGATCCATTGTTTGCATTTGCAATGCTTTACTGGCTCCAATGCTAGAAAATAATAAATGCAGATTTCTTCTTTTATTAAGCTGTGCACATTTATTTTTTCATTTAAAAAAGTTGACTTTTTAATTGAATGGAATATGAATCTACTTGAGATATTCCTTTTACAGATAGTCTGTGATCTGATCCGAATAACATTCTTTCCTTCACAGTTGACTTTACAATAATATAATATTATATGGGTCAAAGACTTTGTTACACCCCCCGATCCCCCTTATGCCCAGACTAGCAATGCGGGTATTCATACTTGGTATATAATAGATTATACTATAATATTGGAATTTACTATATTATACTATATTATTATTATTATTGGAATATACTATATTATACTTTTTTTTAATATATTATTATTGGAATATACTAAATTATTAGAATATATTACACTATATTATTGGAATACACTATATTATTATTGGAATATACTATATTATTATTGGAAAACACTATATTATTATTTGAATATTCTATATTAGTATTGGAATATACTATTGTTTCAAAAAATCCTTTGTAGAAGCTATGAACACAGTGAAGATGATGATAAGGTGTATAATACAATACTGATTATTCCTAAAGCTCTGACATGCATGCTCTGTACTTGGCATTGTGATTGGGTTTTATTTGAAGAAAGTCCTGGTGCCTCTTGGGTTTTACATGTGATTTACATCGGCTTGCTGATCAGCTTTGTTATAGACTCTTGCAGACATTATTGCTGCTGTGTTTTGTCTATGTGCTGGGGGATCCCTGCACTTACATCATTCCTCCATCCTCTCTTGCAGCCCCGGGTTTCCCCAGCACTGCTCACATTTCCAGCCAGTGTGAATGTTTTTAAAATGTACAGGAAATCTGCGCTGAGTTCACATGAAAACGACAACATAAAAAAATCATAAACACCTTCGACGCATCAAACAGAATGCCCAATGTGTCTGGATGATCGAGCCCTGGAGTCCTAATTATTAGATTACGTTTGGGAGAAGATTTCTACAATGAATCATTTAACGTCGTGTAGGGATAGTTACCTCGTTTGACCTTTCCTGTAACACATCCGCCCTATAGCCTTCCTTTGATTTTTCAATTAAGTGGTTGATATGGAGAAATAAAGAACTTGGTTTAATATTGAAAACTACAAGCGGTCATATGACGGTGGGGTAGGGAGAGCCCATGATCACACAGGGACGATGGTGTCTGCTTTATAAGAGATCTGAGCTAAACTGGGAAATGTTATCAGAACGTCCAATATGATCAGCAATGGTGAAAGTGTAATTTCAGGACCAGTGAAATAGGGAAACTATGAGGGTCCAATGAGTGTACATCCATCAGTTTTCAAGTCAGCCTTCTACTGGCATGAGTATTTAATAAGTGCAATGTACAAAGTGATAAATAATGACATCATGACGTGTCTTTTGGTACCCGGATCCCAGCACAGGAGGCGTAGAGAATGATCCCCTATTGCACATCCATGCTGACAATGACAGCATGAAGGCTTCCAATGCCAGAATCTTCTGTGCCAATATCTCACAGATCCTGCGATAACTTATAGCGACCAATCAACGATCATCAGTCACTGTACTTTGCTCATCATCACTTTCCTTGTCCAGTATTTACAAAGTAAAGCTCAAATGAACATTCCCTTTAAATCAGCTAAACACGTTCCAGGTCAACAAAACATAACACTCAATAGAGCTCGTACGACACTTTTATGGCTGCATTAGAAAGTCCTGCGCCAAATTCATGAAAGCCGCACAACAGTCTCCTTGCTATTTTTGACGTGTGTGACAGGGGGGTTCTTATGTGTGACACTTCTCCATTCTGGCTCTGTGGCTGCATCAAATTCATTAAGACTTGCCATTATATCAGCATTAAGAAAAGTGAAGGTAAATAATAAAGAATTCTTCCATGGTGGAGGAAATTGTGGAAGGATTGCGTCACAGACAATTCTCATATACAGCTTACAGACACTTATATGAGTTGCACCATTTGTTGCTCTGATAGGAGAAAGATTTCTAATGAGTGTCTATGAAGTTCTTTACGAATTCCAGGGATGGTGTTCAAAGTTTTCTTTAGGAACCAGCCACAGCCTAAGTAGAAAAGCCTGTCCCCTGCCAGCATGAGGTAGAGTTGGTCCACTGCCAGCATTTCTGGGGAAGCAGTGGTCTTTCTGCAAAGTCCCTCACATTCCTTGTTGAGTCAGAGCTCTCCAACATGTGGGAAAAATGAGCTGATTGCAGAGTGACAGATGTGATTCAGGAGGGGGGGGTGTCAGACCACCACAGAGAGTCTACTGCTTCCCTGCAGATAGCAAATGCCCCACAGACTACCTGTTGAGTTGGAGCTCTCCAATCGGTGGTAAGCATGAGCTGATTGAAGAGCTACATATCTGACTCAGCAGGGGGGTGTACCAGACCTCCACAGAGAGACCAATGCTTCCATGTAGATAGCAAAGGTCCAACAGATCTTCGATGATTGGAGAGCCACAGATATGTCTCAGCAGGGGGGTGTACCAGACCTCCACTGAGAGATCACTGCTTCCATGCAGATAGCAAAGCTCCCACAGACTATTTGTTGACATTGAGCTCTCCAATCAGTGGGTAGCATGAGCTTAGCTAATTGCAAAGCTATGGATATGACTCAGGAGGGGCGTGTCAGACCTCCACAGGGAGACCACTGCTTCCTTGCAAATAGCAAATGCCCCACAGACTACCTGTTGAGTTGGAGCTCTCCAAACAATGGCAAGAATGAGCTTAGCTCATTAGAGAGCTACATATCTGACTCAGCAGGGGGGGGGGGGGTGTACCAGACCTCCACAGAGAGACCACTGCTTCCATCCAGATAGCAAAGGTCCAACAGAGCTTCGGTGATTGGAGAGCTACATATCTGACTCATCAGGGGGGTGTACCAGACCTCCACTGAGAGATCACTGCTTCCATGCAGATAGCAAAGCTCCCACAGACTATTTGTTGACATTGAGCTCTCCAATCAGTGGGAAGCATGAGCTTAGCTAATTGCAAAGCTGTGGATATGACTCAGGAGGGGGGTGTACGAGACCTCCACTGAGAGATCACTGCTTCTATGCAGATAGCAAAGCTCCCACAGACTATTTGAGCTCTCCAATCAGTGGGAAGCATTAACTTAGCTAATTGCAAAGCTATTGTTGTGACTCAGGAGGGGCGTGTCAGGCCTCTACAGAGAGACCACTGCTTCTGCAAAGTGCAGCTCCTGGCAGGGGACAGTATTTTCTGTAAGACATTGAACACCTGGAATGTAGTTCGCTGTGATAAAATGATGGGTTTAATGTCCAGTTTATAAGTTACAACCATAACATTTACTTTTCTATGTCATGCCCCCCTCCTCCTCTGGTGGCTCATGTTCTGGGGCACTTACCTGTCTCAGGTGCCTCAACACCTCTGTGGCCTCCTCCTGCCTCCCTTGCCTCAGCAGCTGCATCATATCCTGGATCATCTTGTTCCTCCTGTGATAAGGAGCTAGACCGCCCGACACGTTCTTCCCCAATTTATCCCCAGATTTCACCCCAAAAGAAGACCAGAAGTCCCCCCTGTCCCTGGCCGGGGTGCTCCTCCGGGATCCCGGGGGGTGCTGAGGGCTTTCCCCTCCAGCACTGGAAGCCTGGCAGACCTTGGTCTGCTTGGTGCCCATGATGGTATGAATGATCCCCCAGGAGATGCATCCGAAATGATCCGAGAGGGGGGTGGTCACACAGAGTGAAGGTGCAGGTGACCGTCCTCCTGTAGAAGAGGCGGATGGAGAGATTCAACAGGTCCGCAGGCAGAAAGTCACTCCGGCATCATCCAGTGTACCTGGCGGTGGATCCCTCTGACATCGGATCGGTGTTATCGGTGCACACGGTCCGGGTACTCCGCTCTGGAAGCACGGCTCAGCCCCCTCCAACTTTCCCCGTACAATGGAGCATGCCCCGGGTCATATCACCAGCCGCCGATGGCCCCCGAGCCGGGGAACTGTTGCATGTCCCTATGAAGCAGCGCTGAGCCGTCTAATGACAGGAGGAGGAGGGATCGCCTGCTACACGGAGCTGGTCGGGGAAAAGTCTCAGCACACTCCCGGCGATGGGAATCCGAGCGAAGTGCCCGGGGGTTCCTGGTAACTTGTGTGCACAGTCCGGGCTGGGGGGTCCGGGGATGGCAGATACTAGTTGGGTGTCTGAGGCTCTCCAGCATCGCTTCCCATAGACACAGGCGGAGGGGCTGTGTCTGCTGTCACGGAGGAGGCGTTTCCTGTGTGTCGGCTGGCCACTCGGATGCCGGCTGGAGGTCTGCTGGGCATGTGCCAGGAAAGCCCCAATACAGCGCATCCGACCGGGCAGCGCCGATATTGGAGGGGGCCGGGGATCGCTAAAGGGGCACAGTGCTGTCCCCCAGCCGGGAGAGTCTATTCCAGGGAGAGAATCAGCTAACCCCCTGGGCTGATCTCCTGGGTGACCTCCTGCACTGTTCTCCTGAGTGGTCTCCTGGACTGATCTCCTGGGTGACCCCCTGGGCTGATCTCCTGGGTGACCTCCTGAGCTGATCTCCTGCATTGATCTCTTGAGTGGTCTCCTGGACTGATCTCCTGGGTGACCTCCTGAGCTGACCCCTGGGCTGATCTCCTGGACTAATCTCCTGGGTGACCTCCTAAGCTGACCCCTCCGGACTGATCTCCTGGGTGTCCTCCTGAGCTGATCTCCTGGGTGTCCTCCTGAGCTGACCTCCTGGGTGATCTCCTGGGTGTTCTCCTGGATTGATCTCCTAGGTGACCTCCTGGGCTAATTTCCTTGGTGATCTCTTGGACTTATCTCATGGGTGATCTCCTAGGCTGATCTCCTGGGTGGACCACCTGGACTGATCTCCTGCACTGACTTCCTGGGTGACCTCCTGAGCTGATCTCTTGGGTGATCTCCTGGACTCACCGTCTGTGCTGATCTTCATGGCTGTCCTCCTGGGTGACCTCCTAGACTGATCTCCTGCACTGACCTCTTCTGTGATCTTCTGAGTGAGCCCTTAAGCTGATCTCCTGGGCTGATCTCCAGGGTTGACCTCCTGGGCTGACCATCTCTTGGCTGATCTCTTGAGCTGATTAACCAGGCAATCTCCTAGGCTGACCTCCTTGGATTACCTCCTGGGCTTATCTTCTGGCTGATCACCTGGGGTGACCTGCTGGGCTCTCCTCCTGTGCTGCTCTCATGGGTGATCTCCTAGGCTCACCTTCTGGGCTGATCACCTGGGGTGATCTCCTTTGCTTACCTCCTGAGCTGATCCCCAGATAGCAAGCAATTGAGCTGCAAGTTTGAAAATGACTTGCTAAACTATTGCAGACTTGCCAATCTTCACAATTTTGTTGCACAATTACAGCAAGTCTGCATTGCAAGTATCCAGATCAATGTGCTTTGCAAAAGTGCTGTACACTTGCAGAGCTCTTGCTAAGACCTGCAGGACTTTTGCTGTAGTCTTGCTAAGCAAATGTGCTACAAATTCAAAAAGTGTCAACTAGAACTTGTGCTGCAAGTATTCTGCAAGTCTATAACTTGCCAGGAATGTGTGCAGCAAGTTAACAAGAATTACAATTTAGCCCTGCCACAACCCTGCCAAATTATCCTTGCTTCTGGGTTGACCTTCCGAGCTGACCCTTACCTGCTGCCACTTCTGACCCAGAGATACTCCCAGTGCCAGATAAATTAAGATTAGCACTTGTTGAAGAATGGAAATCTGGCGTGTAGGATGTCAAATGAACTATGATGTCTTGGCATATATAGAGTTTTTATGGCACATATTAAAATGTGGAACTGTCTTGCACCATCATCCTCATGGCACACTACTGCGCACCTCTGTTGCACTAACTTGACAAATTATTTTTCTTTCTTCTTTTTTTTTTGCGAAAAGTCACACCTTTGCATTTTTTTTACAATGGCCAAACTAGTTGCATCTTTCACGTGAAACCATTTAGAGTAAACTATTATTAGGAGCATCCAAAGGAAAAGGAAAAAGAAAAAAAAAGCAGTACCAGCAGAGAGTTGCCTGCCGAATAATAGACAGCTTGTTTCCTAGAGCCAAATCAGAGACCGGCTATTCCTAATGGAAAAGTCAGATGGATTGTAATGCAAAGAGTGCAGGGATCAGGAGTAGGTAACACGCAAAGTGTTGCAATCAGGAGTATGTATCGCACAGAATGCTGGTGTATGAGTACATAAAGCACAAAATTCAGGGGTCAGGTATACATAACACACAAAGCACAGCGGTCAAGAGTAAATAGTGCAGAAGATGCAGGGGACGGGTGTGTGTAACGCACGTAGTGCAGGGGTCAGGAGTGTATAATGCACAGAGTGCATGTGTCAAGGGTGTGTAACACACAGAGTTTGGGGGTCAGGGATTTTCCACATACAGAGTGCAGGAGTTAGGTGTGTGTAATGCAAGGGTCAAGGGATGTGTAATGCACAGAATGCAGGGGTCGGTGGTACCTAATGCGCATATTGCAGGGGTCAATAATGCACAGAGTGCAGGGGTCAGAAGCATGTAATGTAGAGAGTGCGGTGGTCAGTGATCTGTAACACAGAGTGCAGAGGTCAGGAAGGTGCAAAATATACCCACCCTCCCTGCAAAAGCCCTTTACAGTAAAGTAGAAGCCTAGGGAAGCTTCCATTGGCTCTGAATTCTATTTTCCTGACAGACAGGCTTAGCTACAAATCACTGAGGGGGTGTATTGCGGAACCTGGTCTTGGGGCGGCAGGGAGAGTAAATCCGGCCCTGGCTTAGAGTCACATCACGGGGGATCGCTCTGCAACCAGTGCCTGCTGCTTCCATTCAGCTGCCGGCAGATGAACAAATAGCTCGGTGACTGGGCAGGGGTGGGCCGGGGGGCTCCTTGTAGTGTTGCTGAAGGACAGGCACCTTGGATTACACCTTATATGTGCATTGGGGTTCCATACAGAATGAATGGCAACACACAGCAGTGTACATATACAGCACATGAACATGGCGCTTTTATCATAAGCACATAGGTGAATCCAGCCAAAATGCTAAAGCTTGCTTCTTTTTTAGGACTAAATAAACCTGGCAAACTTTAGGCTGTGTTCACATGTCTGTGATGCAGTAAAGCATGTGTGTTAAGCTAAGGCCAGAAGCCTGCTATTGTTTATTAAAGGTAAACTAGTGGGGTCATATGGAAATGGTTAGACGGTAACAAGGAGATGCTGCATGTGATTATATGCTGCTAAGCACTAACATGTAGCTTGCAACATTGCTTTAGCTTTACCCATTAGATTTAATTGTGTGAGCAATGTATAACATCTTTACAAATACATTACAATTATGTAATTAAAGGTACCTGTATTTGTTATCAGTATGTATATTTGGAGCTTTAATTAGAACTAAACCTTAACTGGGTGACAGTTAGCTTAATAAAGCACCATATATCACATTGCCTTTTTTTAAATACTAGTATGACTTTTTTCGACTTTTTTTTAGCATCTCAGTGCTGCTGATCTCCACCATTCTTCAGCCATTTACTGTCTACATGTATTTGCTTCAGCCCTAGTTACATACCATTGCTTAGGATGGGCTTCTTGATAGCGACAACAGTGGACCAAGTCTGCATACATTGCATGACAGCTTGTAGACTCTTATCGGGGGCACATATGACAGGAGAGCAATTGGAGACAGTTGTTCCTCCATGACAGGAAGTGCCTGAACAAGGATCTTGTCTAACGAGACCTAACAGAGTAAGTCACTCTGACTGTAAGAGTGACTTGCTCTGTTTTATGCAGACTAGGAATGCAACGATACCGATACTAGTATTGGTATCGCGGCCAATACAGGGCATTTTCACAATTACTTGTGAAAAAAAACAGATTCTAAAGGCCGATTCCGACCCTTTATAACCGCGCTTGCTGGGGACCTCAGGCAGCCTGCAGGGGACCTCCCAGTAGCTGTCCTTGGCATTGCCGGTCCAGCATCACATCTACTCCTCCTCCTTCCCAAGACTGGCACCGCCCTGGATAGCACCTCCTATTCTGCAATAAGCCAGGCTGAGTGAAATCTTGATGCTTTATTAACAAAACAGGTTGTTGTGAAACTGGTGATAAACAACATAGAAACATACAAGTATGTGTGTAAAACATGTAAATATAGTGTCAGCTCACAAATATTGAGAGAAACAAGTCCATCCATACCAGTGATGCTGCCTTAGAGGGATTTGGGCTCTTTCCTCCAGACATGTGCTGCAGATGGCAGTAGATTCCTCTTTCGGCTTTCTAAAATAGAACCTGAACTCCCAAGATGGGAGAGGGATGTTTGGAGGTTTTTTAAAAAAAAAAGGAAAACAGTCTTGAAGCTGCTGTAAATAGAGATGTTTTCTCTTCAGCTCCATCTAGTGGCCGATTTTGATATCGCAGATAGGTAAGCCTATTATTTTTCATGCCAAAGGCAGAACAATGGGTCTGGTAAGCTCCGTTTTTTCCTCCATCCTAAAACTGGACAGATGCGGATGTCACATCAGTGACCCCTGCTCATCCCCTGCTAATCGGAACTGACAGGTGCCCATGTGAAATGGGCCTTATTTTATATTATCTAGGGATGTCCAGATACCAGTTCAGATACCAGTGGTGATACTTGGTATTTTCACGAGAACTCCCAGGGTTGCAGCTGGGACCTAGCTCTGGCGCTCCACCACTGTCCTGAA